CGTTTGCATATTGTTGTTTGTATATTTGTTATATGGTTGTTTGGCGCCTTTTTGTTAGAAAGAATCATAGATAACACTGTGAAAGGAATTCTTTGTCTGTGCCGTGAATTCTTTTTCTGTTTCGTGAACCTGGTTTAAGGCCGTGAATCTTGTGTTCTCCAAGTGTGTTTGTTATAATATATTATTAATTATTATAGTGTTCTCTTCGAAATAAACCTTAAATACTAATTTGCTTGAAGATTGAAGTGAACAACAATCATAACATTCTGGTGAGTTATAATAAGCATACTTGTTAAAAAATAAAAAAATCGTATTTAATGTTTCAACAACAATCAGAAAGTTCCAGTGCTTATTAATTGTTTATTTTTAAGTTTAGGGTAGTTATGCTATAATAATTTTTTGTTCCATATTAAGTTGTCTTTTCATTTAATAAAGGTTATTTTTGTAATTACTTCAGAAACCTTATGTTCAATTGTTATTCTGTCTTAACCATTTTAATCAGAAGAAAAAATGCCACTAATTTGCTAATTTAACCGACTTTGTTGCTGCAATAATAATGGAGTTAAAATGGTGAGCAGATAACTTTGGACACTGTGTATATATAAATAATAAAACTATTATATTTATTTAGAATTATTATTTATTTAACTTTTATAATGGGTGTTTATTTTTTATTTTATATAATTGGCTGTGTAAAATTATATATATGTATACAGAATTAAAATAATATATTTTATAAAGTAATAAAATGGTATTTGATTGTTTAAAATGTATCCCCAACAAATAACAAGGCCATTCAGAGGATGTCCTCAGGACATCCCATTCCTGGACCTACATATACCCATGGGACTTTCAGGGGACATCCTTAGGATGTCCTATTCCTGGACCTATATGGACCTAGGGATATCCCTAGGATATCCTAAAGGCCATTTGCGGGACGTCTGTAGGCTGGCCTTTTTTGCACCACTCGGCCATGGTTGGGATGTCCTGAGGAGGTCTGAGGACGTCCTAGGATATCCTTGGGATATCCCAATATCCTGTAAGGCTTTCCTTAGGACGTCCTTAGGACAGACTTGTGCTAGCTGGGTATTGTATTCCTCGAGTTTAAGGCGCCACCGCAAAGATGTTAAGGAATGTTTCAAGTCATTAAATGCCTGTTAACAGTCAAACTCAAATAAAAAGGGTGTGTCCTTAGTTAACAGTTTTGTAAGTGGTTTGTATGTTTTTGAGAAGTTGGGAATAAACCTACGGTAGTAACCGGCAAGTTCTAGAAAGGATTTAATGTCTTTTGAGTTTTTGGGTTGAGGGAAATTCTCTACAGCTTTAATTTTTTCCGGATTGATTTTAACACCGTGCCGAGAAATTCGCATTTGTCAGGTTGTATTTTAAGGTTTGCTTTTCGTAATCGTTGGAAAACATATTTTAGTCGGAAAATGTGTGCATGAATTCTGGGTAAATAGACGATGATGTCGTCCATATAGACGAGACATCTTTCGTTCTGAATGACCAAGAGAATATTGTCCCTAACATTGCAATGTTAGGGACAATATTCTCTTGGTCATTCAGAACGAAAGATGTCTCGTCTATATGGACGACATCATCGTCTATTTACCATGGAATGTTAAGGGGGCTTTTCTTAGGCCGAATGGCATATAAATAAATTTAAAATTAAAAATAAACTTGAATTTTACTCGAAATAGCGAAATAACCGTTCAAAATGTCATTTTTCTCGGTTGTATTATTTGCGCTATCTTCTATTAAAGTAATTTCATCACAAATTTCGTTTGCGAATTTGGTTGACGTTTTCCGTATGCGAATTTGGTTGACTGGATTTTGGTGCAACAGGAACGTTGTTCAAATAAACACAACTTAATAAAATGAAATGTATTTATTTTAATACAGAGATGATACTCGGTTGAATGCTAATGAATAATTGATTCAAAATAACAAGAGCAGACTGCCACTCTTACAGAGAAAACTGAGTAGTCAGCCCTTTTTAAATATAAGAAAAAATATGACGCAGTTCTCGGTTTCTTGTGTGGTCTTTTGAAAACACCAAGAAACTTGCATACGTCGCATTTCCTCTTAGTAACATTTTGTTTATAGTATCTAAATATCGTAAATATTATTTTATAAAACACATTAAGTTGACAGTGTTTTATTGCACTACACATGAAAATAAAAACGTATCATTATATAATAAAAATAAGTAAAGGTAAAAATAACGCGTAATTGAACGTGCTCGTTCACCTATAAAAGCTTCGACAAAATTTAATCTACATCAAACAATCATTATAACCCAAGCTTATTAACCTTATAACTTTTTAAATTTAAATAAATCCCACAGTATAGTATCCAGTATATTAAACTTACAATTTCTTCCCAAAAATTGTGGTAGTTTTTCTAATCCAAGTTTTGTCAATACAAGTAAGTATAAAGCTTCGACTGAATTTGATCTACATCAAAAAATCATTAAAACTTTTAAAATTTTAATAAATCACATGTTATGGTAGTATTAAATATATTCACATTACAAGTTTCTTTAAAAATTTTTTCTATAATCTAACTTAAAGTAGGTATGCCAAGAGGTATGCACAAGTTTTGTCGTTGGAAGTATAAAAGCTTCAATTTAATTTAAACCATATTTAACAATTATTTAGGATACCTATATTTATATGACCATATTAACACACTCTTCCAAATAATCCAAAATACTTATTTATTTTGGTCAAAATAAATTTTTGTAACCTTAAAATTACAAAATTAGATGATATTTTTTGTTATAATATATTAACCTACCTATCTTTCATGCAGATATTCTTATTCGATAATAAAGAAGCTAATTTTTTTAATAAATGCTGTTTAGTTCTTCTTCTTCTACTCTGTGGAGAACTGGTCCTGAGTCCTAATGGGCTCTTACTGAATAAATACAAGTTTTAACGTCTCACGGTTTCAGCAAGCTACATCCGCAATTCGAAAATGTGGAAACTTTAATCCTAAAACACCCTTGTGGAATTTTTTTTCTAAAAAAGTTTTAATAAGTAAAAGTAAGACTTTCAAAAGTCCTATTTTTACTTATTAAAACTTTTTCCGAGAAAAATTTCCACAAGGGCATGCACTCCGTCGGTTGTACAAATCACAAAATATCTCGCTAGGAGGTCAAAGCTTGCGATATTGTCCAAAAATACAGGTATATTTCTATACCGGGACCCCCATTTTGGCCCTCCCAGGTCTAGAAGTGACTTATTTTTCACTACTCTTTCATAGAGCAACCATACTCTGCCAGCACCAAAATGGAAGTCCTGCTGTTTAGTTAAAACTATGTTATGGAGAAAACCAGATATGTAGACCAAATGCACAAAATTATTACCTTTTTGGCACCATACACTTTTGAATTTCATTAAATGCAGTATTTATATTCCTAAATTCTTAAACCATTGTGATACTATTAAGATTCATAAATGTTTAACTTTAAACATAAGCTATTATAAATATTATTTCTTTCGTTGACTATAGTTTAACAGATACATAACCTGAAAAGCCTTAAATGACAAATTATCAAAATACTGCGTTTCGTACGTAGTCACGTGGTGGGGCGTGGATGTAGAGCATAGTACATACAAATTTCGAATATTTAAACAGTCAAGTATTTTGATATTTTGAATGATCAAATATTTAAATAGTCAAATATCCGAATAATTAAATATTTGCATATTCAAATATTTGAATTGGTTAAATATTTAAATATACAAATATTTAAATAATTGCTCATGAAAATATATTAAATAATTTAAATTATTTGAATGTAATTCCCAGCCTTACTATAGACAGAATAGTCGACTTCCTATACTCGGTCACGTATCAAAACGTATATATATAGTCGAGGGAGTGGGCGTGGTTTGAGTACACTTGATTTTTTGACCGACCAATTATAATTAGTTTACTTAATTTAATCTGTGGAAAAAGGAACACGGCACAGTGTCCCTTATCAAAAAATAGGTGTTTTAAAAATATTAACGAAAACTCTTTATATTCCTTTTATGGACTAAATGGCAGAACAAAACTATTATTGGTTGAATCAAAGCTGATCATTTTTCTGCCTAAAAAAGCGAAGCACTGTGTGGTTTTAAAATCCTATTTGGGAAGTCCACAAGCTTAAGTACTCGCTTGCGCATTAGTTTGATTAAAGCTACTTAAGATCTCCCACGCCTATTTGTGGAAATGTTTGCCTTGTTCTCTTGGATAGAGAAAAATATGTGTTCAAGAGACAATTGCCCTTGACTCCTTAATTTGACCAAACTAGAAACGCCAACCAAATATGCAATTGTTTTTTGTCAAACGGCTAGACATAAAGACCACAAAAGTTCTTCAGTAGTAAAGTAGTAAAGTAGGACGCATAGGCCGTGAGGTAACAAAGCAAAAATCTAAACCGATATGTCAAATTTTATTTCAAAAAAACCGAAAAAGGAATTAGGCACAAATGTATTAAAACATGCTCATCGAAAAAAACATGTACAAGTACCTAATTAATTTGTGTTAAAGTTTATTATTCTTTAAACGATTCTGAAACCTTATTTTAAGTTTTTATTTATAAAATGTACGTATCACCATTATTAATAAAAAACGTGATGAATGATAGCAAAAAAAAAAAAATATTCACGCAGGATAAAATAGTGTAAATATTTAAATCAAATTATGAGATTTATATAAGTATCCACTGTCTCCGATCAGCTTTGATCCAACCGAACTTTGTTTTGGTGCTACCAAATTGACCACAATAGGCACCCACAAAGAGATTTCGTTAACATTTCAAAAATGCAAGCCGCGGCTATTGAAAAGAAGATTAACTCCGCACTACAGACGAAACGCTTTTTTAACCGAGTCAACTATCCTGTCTAGTATCCATGTCCAGCTTGGCATGGACCGTAGGGTGTACCTATATCAATACATACACATAGTTACGCAATTTAAAAATTAACAAATTTGCACATTTGTTTTAGCTCATTTGGGATAAACGTCATTATTTATATAAAATACCGACAGCTTTACCAAAAGTACTTCTGGCAGCAACAACTTGGTCGTATTTTGAAGTTTCTGAGTTACACGGAATGTTGAAAAACTGGACCAACTTAAATCCCGTACAAGCAATGGAATTACTACTACCAACGTAGGTTTTGTATATGTTATATATATATTTATAACGCAGAAAGTTTAATGAAAGTATTTTATTTATTTTTCAATATATTTTAGTTCCCGGTTTTGCTGCATGCATGTTTAGTTTGATCTAAATTTAACAGACAAATATATACCTACACATTTGTTAATAATTACAGGGTAATAAAAAGCTTAATATTTTTTTGCATAAAATCGTAACACTGTAAGAATACGTTTTTTGGACATCTCTATTCGTCAAATTGAGATAAAATTTGGGAAATAAAGCGATTTATTTAGTATAAAATGATGATTTTTATAACTTATTTTATTTATTTTAAGTTTACCAATGCGTAGGTAAACTTGTTGAATAGGTACAACACCATACCATATTTTTCAAAAAAAAAAATTTTTTTAAGTTAGTGCCCCATTTTCAGGACATTCTGTATAGTTGAAAACCTAAGTTTTAATAAAATATACGTATTCGCCCGACGTTATATTTCGTGCTTTTAATTAAAAAATTATGTCGCTAATACATTTTCAATGATTTATCACATTGCCTCTATCACATTTAATTTATCATCTCTTCAAATGGGAATTATTTTTATAATCTCTTGTATACAGGGTGATTCCAAATAATGATAAAAAATTAAATGGGTGATTCTCCACAAGATTTGGTGACGAAAAGTTCCTATGAATTTTAGGCCTAGGTACCCAGGTAAAATTTATGAAATCAACTTGAAATTAACTTGGAGTATAATAGTATCGCAATGTTACGTTATTGTTATATTGCATATTGGTTAACTTGGGACGGTAACAATGTTACCATTATTTTAGGTAACTGTTGGGTTGCATTTTAGTAACATCGTTACATTGCAATGTTACTCCTATCCCAGATAACAATTATGACATCATTAAAGACATCAACGTAAAATCACTGCTGATTCATTCAGTGATGTCACTGAGGTACGCATATGTGTTCCCCATTTGAAGAGCAACATGATATCCTTAATGAGTCACACGATGAATTGTGTGCCACATGTGGCACGCATAAGTGTTGCACTTTTGATGAGCAACATGAGATCCTTAATGAGTCACACGATGAATTCATTATGAAATCAAAGGGATTTCATTCATGATTTTACTTAAGGGACTAAAAATGCTAAATTAAAATAAATATTTATTTTCTTAAAAAATATATAAAATATTTAAAACAAGTTTTTAATATAATTTAAAAAAGTAACTTGCATCTGATTATAATTTTTATACATGTATATATATACCTAGCACGTGCTAAGTATAATTCATAAATTAATTATAAAAATATATTTAAAAATACGATAATTTTTAGGCCTTGGTAAGATAAATCCATTCCCAAAAGTTGGCAACACTTATGGTATATATACCATATATATACCATGCAGAGCTGTTCCGAGTACAAGAAAAAAGTACTCGAGTAAAAGTACAATTACTTTGAAAAAAATGTACTTGAGTACAAGTAAAAAGTACAAAGTACTTTTTCCAAAAACTCTTATAATGTAATTTAGGTTTCAGTATCTAGCAAAAAAAGTTAAACATAAAAAAATATCAGGTTTAGGTCACTTAGGGATATTTAAAAAAAACTGAATTTTTATATTTATTTAATACACGTATTTATTTATGTTTTGAATATGTTTTTTCCAAATAACCAATTATTTCTATTTTAAACAGAAAAAAATAATATTTAAATAGATTAACTATTCTTTATTACCTATAGGTATACCCACAATCCACATGTGTGGATTGTGTGTTGTGTGGATTGTGGGTATACCTATTCATGCAAGTAATTTATTAAATATTTTATCTCCACGCGGTCTATAATTTAAACTTTATTGTTGTCAACATTCGATAAAGAAATACCTTGTTATGGCCTAGGCCGATAAAAAATTTTATGAGGCGAGTAATTAGTTCGATTTTTTCTCGCTAGGGGTATTGTTTTGACAAATTAATCCTTTTCTAAGAAATTAACGTACTAAACTGGTTTAATTTATTTATAATAAGCACTAATTTGTTTGTTTTACTGTTAATGTTTAATATTTTTCATTAAATTATTGTAAAATTAATTATGAATAATAAAATAAAAAGTGAGGTTAGGCCACCCAGAAACGCATGATTCTTTTTGTACGATTTAAATTATCTTTAAGTTTTAATTTGCTTTAAGTTTTTAGTGAAATTAAATGTTAAACACAAACTACCTATTTTTTTAATAAAAATCCAAACAAATTGAAATTAGATACCTACCTATTTATTAAACAATTAATTGAATTCAATGTAATAGCAAAAATCCATTTCTACTTAAATCATGTATACATGATTTAAGTAGAAATGGATAGCTATAGCTAGGTATTGTCAAACTATTACTGCTTCTAAAAGCAATATTAATTATTAGTGCTGTCAAAAACCGACTTTTTTGAAAAACGGGTACCCGTTTTTATAAATACCCGGAACCGGGTAACCCGGTTCCGGGTATCCGGTTTCGGGTACCCGGTTCCGAGTACCCGGTTCCGGGTACCCGGTTCCGAGTACCCGGTTCCGGGTTTTCGGTTCCGGGTACCCGGTTCCGGGTATTCGGTTCTGGGTAATTGATTTCGGGTACCCGGTTCCGAGTAATTAATTCCGGGTACTCGGTTCCGAGTACCCCGGTACGTTTGATACGGTTCAGGACGCTTTAACAAAATTTGTTAGTTTCGACAGTACGGAGAACAACAATACTGTTCTTTTTACCAACTCGCATAGAGGCTATCGCGGCCACTACAAAACAGTATATAATAGTAATCGCGGAAATCGCAACGGGTATCAAAATCAAAATTATGGCAACGAACGACCTCGTCATGAACACCAAGGCCAAGGAAGCAGAGGATCGCGTTACAATAATTACAGCCGGTCAAGTTACCATAACAATAATAATAGGTCTCAGCGCCCGGGAAATAACCAAAATTATGTACGTTCGTATCAGACAACGACCATACAGAATTCGGAAAACTTCAACCACCCCCACCCGGGTCGGTTGGGGGACAACATGTAAATTCAGTCAATACCTAATAGTGCTGTCAAAAACCGACTTTTTTGAAAAACGGGTACCCGTTTTTATAAATACCCGGAACCGGGTAACCCGGTTCCGGGTATCCGGTTTCGGGTACCCGGTTCCGGGTATTCGGTTGCGGGTATCCGGTTTCGGGTACCCGGTTTCGGGTATTCGGTTCCGGGTACCCGGTTCCGAGTACCCGGTTCCGGGTATTCGGTTCCGGATACCCGGTTCCGGGTAATACGGTTCCTGAAAAATTCGGTTCTACCCGGTTCCGGGTACCCGGAACCGGGTACCCGGAACCGACTGACAGCACTATTAATTATTGTACATTTAATGTAATCTTTAGCTAATAAATAAATGAGATTCTAAAAAAGTGAGATTGTGACGCTTTGATGTTGAATTAAATTGACCTATACAGGGTGTTTCTTTTAACTTGAGACAGCTCAATATCTCGAGAAATACGCATTTCACGGAAAAATGTCTTAAATAAAAGGTAAATGTGACTAAAGGGGACATTATTTGGTGCTACCGCTAGCCACCCCCTACCCCTCCTTAAGGGTGAAACGGGGGATAACTTTGGAAAGTCAAATGGAATGACCCGATTTTTTTCACAGAGTTTGGTAGTACATAAAAAAATAAATAACTTTTATTTAAAACTTTTTTCAATTTATCAACAGATGGCGCTGTAATTCAAAATTTAAGAAAAATGAGTTTCCTCGTAAAATGTAATATTTGAAACGTTTAAAAAACAAAAAACAAAAATTAACAACAATAGTCGGCTATGAAAACAATTTATAACAAATGTTCGAAATGTCGTCATTCCACATTGTTGAATGCGGGTAATGAATTCTGGCACACAACGCGCTAACATGTCGGGCGGTATCGCCGCACAGGCGTTCCTGATCCGCTCCACCATGTCCTCCCAAGTTGTAGGAATTGCAGCGTAAACTTTTTCTTTCAAGTAACCCCACTGGAAGAAGTCTGGTGGCGTAAGATCAGGTGATCGAGCAGGCCAAATTACTGGACCACGTCTACCGATCCACCGCGGTGCACCGGCCATTGAACTCCCGATCCAACACCTCTCGAGCAATTGTCGAATAATGTGCAGGACAACCATCTTGCTGGTACCACATGTTTTGGAGCCGTGCTAGTGGTACATCCTCCAAAAGGTCCGTCAGATCGTTTTATAGAAAATTCCGGTACTTTTCGCCATTTAATGCACCGTCAATAAAGAAGGGTCCGATTAATCGTTCGCTTAAGGTACCGCACCAAACGTTTACCGACCAGGGACGCTGGTGCTCCACTTGGTGTCGAAATGGAAGGACGACATTTCGAACATTTGTTATAAATTGTTTTCAGAGCCGACTATTGTTGATTTAATGTTAATTTTTGTTTTTCAAATGTTTCAAATAATACATTTTACAAGGAAACCCCTTTTTCTTAAATTTTGAATTATCTGTTGATAAATAGAAAAAAACTTTCAAATAAAAGTTATTCATTTTTTTATGTACTACCAAACTCTGTGAAAACAATCGGGTCATTCCATTTGACTTTCCAAAGTTACCCCCCGTTTCACCCTTAAGGAGGGGTAGGGGGTGGCTAGCGGTAGCACCAAATAATGTCCCCTTTGGTCACATTAACCTTTTATTTAAGACATTTTTCCGTGAAATGCGTATTTCTCGAGATATTGAGCTGTCTCATGTTAAAAGAAACACCCTGTATAAAGTGCTTTGAAGACAAAATGTTGTATGCCATTCGGCCAAGAATTGCCTTTTTGTGCTTCGCTCAATTGTAGGCCTCCGCTACGGCCTTCAAACCTTGAGCTTAGCACAAAAAGCCTTACTTCTTAACCTAATGACATAAATAACTATAGTTTAAGCTATTTATTAAATAATATATTATTTAATAAATAGCTTAAACATTATTTAACTGAAAGCACGAAATTAAAT